GTGCCACCACGCCCAGCTAATTTTGTGTCTTTTTAGTAGAGATGGGGTTTCACCATGTTGGCCAGGCTGGTCTCCAACTCCTGACCTCAAGTGATCAGCCCACCTTGGCTTCCCAAAGTGCTGGGATTACGGGTTTGAGCCACCATGCCCAGCTAATTTTTTGTCTTTTTAGTAGAAATGGGGTTTCACCATGTTGCCCAGGCTGGTCTTGACCTCCTGGCCTCAAGTGATCAGCCCACCTTGGCTTCCCAAAGTGCTAGGATTACGGGTGTGAGCCACCACACCCGGCCATAGTTTGGGGCTATTTTGAATAAGGCTCTAATGAATCTTTATGTGGATATATGTATTCATTTTACTTGGATAAATCCCTTGGAGTAGGATTTCTGGATAATATGGTAAAGTATATGTAAATTTATTAAAAATAAAAATGCCAACGGTTTTTTATCAGTAATATATGTGAGTCCTGGTTGCTGTGCATCATTGCTAACGTTTGGTATTGGTTTTTTAGATTATAATTATTTATATGTATGTGTGGCGATATCCCACTGTGATTTTAATTTGCATTTCCTGATGATAGTGATAGTGAACACTTTTCATATACTTATTGACTGTTACATCTTTTGTGAACTGGCTCTTCACATATATTACCCATTTTTTAAAAATTTGATTTTTTTTTAGTGAGTTGTGGGAGTTGTTTGTATATTTTGGATATAGGTTTTTGGATACACACATATATACACTTATACAGAAAGAAAGAGTGTGTGTATTCACCTAGCCTTTGGTTTTCTTATTTATTTCTTAATAGTTTCTTCTGATTTGCAAAAGCTTTAATTTTTAATGAAGTCTCACTGATTTTTTTAAAGACCAGATATTTGGGAATCCTAAGAAATCTTGCCGCAAAGATCTTTTCTTATGTTTTCTCCTATAACCTGTATATTTAGATCTGTCATTCATCTGAAATTAGTTTTTGTATATTGTGTGAGGTGGTGGTCAGGTATCTCTCTTCCCCCTCCCCCCGATTTGGATACTTAGCTTTTCCTCATCCTTTTGTTGAAAAGGATTTCTTTTTTTCTGAAGAGTTTCTGGTTGAAATTCACTTGACTGTGTAATTGTGGGTCTGTTTCTGCACTCTGCCATTAGAGATATCTGCCTGAACTCATTTTTCTTAAAGAGATAGCTCTCCGTTTACTGAGTCAGTGACCCAGTAGCAGTGAACATCCCGAGTGCTGAGACCGTGGCCTCTAAATACAGATTCTCATTGAGCCAAACCAGGCTTCTTGGAGAAGTGTTTAATGTCCAGTCAGAGACAGGAATTCTACAATATGAACTCAAGTCACATTGCTATGGCAGAAACAAGGATACTTTCAAGGGCCTCTTAGTGGCCAAAAATAGGACATATTGAGCATACTCATGAATAATAGTTGAAATCCATTGGAACCCGTAATACATATTGTTTACAAATCCATTATGTCCACAATGATGCTACAGAATGACTGCTTTTGTCACCTTGGCCGTGTCTGTCTTCCTCTACCGTACCCACTTCCCACCTTGCTTATCTGTGGTAGTTGCTAACACTCCAGAATCGTTCTTCTGAAAACCGGTAAATGACAGGAAATAATACACATTTATCTTGCTTTTCCTTTTCAAAATAACAACCCTGCAGTCCATGGATCAGTTTTAACTTCACTAAGACAAATGGTGTATCTTTCTGGACAAGATGCAACAGGAAATCCAAGGAGTCCATCCACAGGAATCGAGCCTGAATGAAATCAAGTCTCTAGGTGCAGCTACCAATTTATAGGACATGTAGGGGTATAGGAACAATTCCATGAGAAAATCCAGAAGAAAACTCTTCTAATTTATCCAGCAAATACATGGGATTAAAAATGTGAGTAGAAATTAGAGGAGACTTAAGGTCCATGACCAAGTGGAATTTATGGAGCTGGTTTGCATCCTGATTTAGACAAACTCATTGTTAAAAAAAAAAAATGTAGTTTTGAGACAGTTGAGGAATATATTAGAAATACATTAATTTTTAAAGTGGCAATTTTATTATAGTTAAAAAAAAGTATCTGTTATACGTAAGTATTTACAGGAGAGATAAGATGTCTGGCATTCACTTTAAAATGCTTCAAGACAGATAAAATAGTCAAAATGTTGATATAGATGAAAAGGGTAATGAAAGTTTATTTTTCTGAACAGTCTCATGACTTTCCTTGTTTTAATAAAAAAATTTAAACATCAAAAACATGCATTTTGACCCTGAAGTGAAAGTTCTGGCTATGAAGAACTCTGAAAATCTGGCCGAGATCAGCTTCCTATCAATCGTATTAATGGGTTTTGCTGGCATTATCACTGCTGTGGAGAAATATTTTTATCTCATACTTCATTTCTAGTCTTATCTGAGAACCTTCCCTTGGGTGCTGGTGACTCCAGTGTGTAAAGCCAGAGCTTGGCATTTGTTGCCTGCTTTTACACAGCAGACTAGACATACTCTCTGTCCCAGCAGGGATTTAATTGCATTCATTCTTTGCACTCCTTCCTTGAAGACTGAAGGAAGATCAAGAAGAACATTGACACCCACCAGCTGTTTACTCTGAAGTAAGCAGTATGTAGATGAGATGGGTGCTCCGGGGCCCACCTCTGCTTCTTTTTTTTTTTTTTTTTTTAATTTTTTATTGGATTTTAGGTTTTGGGGTACATGAGCAGAGCATGTAAGATAGTTGCGTAGGAACACACATGGCAGTGTGCTTTTCTTTCCTTCTCCCCTTCACCCACATTTGGCATTTCTCCCCAGGCTATCCCTCCCCACCTCCCCCTCCCACTGGCCCTCCCCTTTTCCCCCCAATAGACCTCAGTGTTTAGTACTCCCCTTTCTGTGTCCATGTGTTCTCATTTTTCATCACCCGCCTATGAGTGAGAATATGCGGTGTTTCATTTTCTGTTCTTGTGTCAGTTTGCTGAGGATGACGTTCTCCAGATTCATCCACGTCCCTACAAACGACACAAACTCATCATTTCTGATTGCTGCATAATATTCCATGGTGTATATGTGCCACATTTTTCCAATCCAGTCTATTATCAGTGGGCATTTGGGTTGATTCCAGGTCTTTGCTATTGTAAACAGTGCTGCAATGAACATTCGTGTACATGTGTCCTTATAGTAGAACGATTTATAGTCTTTTGGATATATACCCAGTACTGGGATTGCTGGGTCAAATGGAATTTCTATTTCTAAGGCCTTGAGGAATCGCCACACTGTCTTCCACAATGGTTGAACTAATTTACACTCCCACCAACAGTGTAAAAGTGTTCCTTTTTCTCCACATCCTCTCCAGCATCTGTTGTCTCCAGATTTTTTAATGATCATCAGAGAGATGCAAATCAAAACCACATTGAGATACCATCTCACGCCAGTTAGAATGGCCACCTCTGCTTCTTAAAGAACCATAGCTTTCTCTGCTGCTCACAGCGCTGAACACCACCGGTACTCAGCCCCTTTACCTTTGACCATCTCCGTGACATGTCACAAAGTCATCAGGGACCCCAAATGAAAAACCTGTTCTCTTGCAGCAAATGTTTAGCAGATACTATGTTTTCAAGCCCTTCTGCTCTGTCCACGGCTCCCAGATGCCAAGTGCTGATTCATAGCCTGCACGGGTGATGCATTGTAACTCTGAGGAGAATGCCTGCTGGTGCAGTGCACACGCTGTAATAATTGCTTTGCTGCGCTATGTACCATTGATATCAGACCTTGTCATTTGATAAGGAAATTTTGACAGTAACTCATTGTACTTTCAAGTGTGTTTCTTTTCAGCCTTGAAACTCGGTTTTGTTTTTGTTTTTATAAGCGTCTTAGCAGTTGTGTGAGATTTATACCTTTTTTTTGCCACAGGGAGTATAACTTTGAATGATGTGTATCTTTTTGGTGTGTCTCTGCTTGTAGTGATGAAATTAGTTCACTTTTGCAGTCTGATAATAATTTGATGAGAATTTTGCATTTGTCAGGAGGACTGGATTGTTCTGCTGGAAGTGACAAGGTGCACTGCGTGGAACAGATACCGAAACCCGTGTGGCTGTGCGCAGCTGAGCTTCCATTCAGTTGCTGGTCTGGACTAGGGACAAGTAGATTGCAGGTCCAATAAAATACAGCTTTTAATACGCATCAGACACACGAGGCTTCCTCACTGCGCTTTTCCCCATCTGCTTGTATAAAATGTTTATCTTTGAAAATTCACTTTTTTTTTTAAAGGAACATCGAATTTATGATGCTCTGCTGGTGCCAAGGTTCCCGCTTATCATTTAGGTGATAACATTATTTCACGTTTGTGAATTCAGAGGCTAACGCTATACGACAGCATAAAAATGTCAATTTAAATGTGAACAACACCACCGAAATGTGCAAATGTATTTGTCGTAATGGACTGTGTCAGACTAAACTTTGGTGAAGACCAGCCATACTGTTAATACGAGGGTTGCAGAGACAAAGGAACGGCACCTGGTGATTTCTAAATTTCACATTTCTGAAAATTATACCGAATCTTAGATTTTTGAGCTGCATTGTTGAGACCACGCAGTTGCTAGTAGAGCCACTGATAGGCCAGGCCCCTGGGTCCACTGTGGTCCTTGGTCATGCACGGAAGACTGCCTTCAAACGAGAATCTGGGGCAGCTCTTGTCAGTCCTCAGACCCCGTGAAGCCGGCCCATGCAAGACGGTGTTTCTCAGGCTGTAGTTTGGAACGTCTGCATTGAGATCACGTGGGGGAACTTCTCTAACGGGTACTTTCTTAAGCCCTATCCCCGACTGCTTAGCAGACTCTCTGGGAGTGAGGCCTGGAAACCTGTATTTTCAACAGCTTTCCTCAGTGGATCTGGCACGGTTGAAGTACTGCCTAGGGTTTATTCAGCATAGAGCCAGAGTGCCTCTCTGTTTGGTTCATAGGACACATTTCTGTACTTTATGATGAGTTTTTTTTTTCTTTTTCTTTTTTACCCTCAGGACTTGTCAGTCACATCTGTAACCTACTCACTGAAACTGCCACACTGTGCTTAGATGTGGACAATAAAACCAACAACGAGATGGCAGCGGCACTGCTCTTCTCCCTGCTGGAAATTTTGCACAGCATGCTGACCTATACCTCCGGGATTGTGAGGTTGGCTTTGCAGGTAGAGAATCCGTTTTCCTGTGTCTGGAGCAGCCCTACACCATGCCATGCTTCCCTTTCATTCTATTCTTCATCTTCTTTTAATGTATTTTTACTTATTTTAAAGAACACATCACTCTGTGGAGAGTGTCTTCCAAACAGTCGTCTTTGGGTGACCAACGTCAAGAACAGAGAATTTGGTCAGAATCTTCAGGGAAAGAAGGAGAGGCCTGCTAAGCGAAGACTTAGCGAGCATTAGGTGGGAAAGCACTCCTGACCCAGGAGAGCATTTCCCTTAGGCACACCCGAGGTTAGCCAAGCCGTGTGCAGCCATTCACGTCCCAACGTGGCTCTCCAGTTCCCCTTCTGCAGGGCAGGTCAGCTTTCTAGGAATAATGGATTGGGGTTTATGTACATACTCGTGTATGTGTGTTTGTAGGTACATAGACATACTTACGTAACTCATAAGCTGACTTGCTTTCCCTTATGACTGAGACCGTGGAATTGTGAGATGGTCCTGAGGACTAGAGCTGTACTCAGTGGCTACGGAAAAAGCCAGTTAGCCATGAACTGTCATCTGTATTTACTTAGCATCGTGCTCTAAGGCAGGAAGGAGGTGTGGTTTTACAGAGCACCTTCCTGTGCCTGTTTCAGTTAATGCTCTAACCAATTGACTCAGCTGATATTTAGATCAAGTGAAAGTGACAGGGCCAATGTGAATTTATTGTTGTATTTAAAATCCCAATACAATTGGCAAGAGATGTCTATCAGATGGCAGCGTCCTAGCTTGGATAGATGCAGAAGCTAAAGTTGAAACCAAACTGTTTTCATACTTTGCCAAGTCACGTGGCAGAGCCAAGAATAAATCCCAGACCCTTGGATAGTCTGTTGTTCATGGTTATGACGAATGACAGCTTTTATCCACAGCTAAGCTGCTCAAGTGTTGAGCTTGTCTCACATGATTTAAGAAACCATTCCAAGATCCCCTCAACAAATATTGTTAGTTACCAAGTGTTTAACCCAAACTGTAAAGCCAGTAGACTAATTAAAACGCCATTGTCTTTGAATTACCTGGTGGCTTTTATTTCCTCATTTATAATAATTCCAAATTAATAGCAAAGCACTGTTGAATACTTAAATAATCCGGAATGGCATATTTCTCCTTTCCTGTCTCCTCTGGTAAGTTTCTCTTCAGAGAATACTGTTATTTGGGTTTCCATAGTCGTTGATTCTGTAACCCTTTGAGACGTAGTTGGTAGCTTTCTTGCAGGATGCCTGATGATAATCTGTAAAAGACTGTCTTGTAAACTGTAGACCAGAAAAAAAAAAAAAGGATCAGAAGTTAAAAATTTTCAGAACAATATAAATTCTTTTTTTTTTTTTTTTTTTTTGAGACGGAGTTTCGCTCTTGTCGCCCAGGCTGGAGTGCAAAGGCGCGATCTCGGCTCACCGCAACCTCCGCCTCCTGGGTTCAGGCAATTCTCCTGCCTCAGCCTCCCGAGTAGCTGGGATTACAGGCACGCACTACCGTGCCCAGCTAAATTTTTTGTATTTTTAGTAGAGACGGGGTTTCACCATGTTGACCAGGATGGTCTCGATCTCTCGACCTCGTGATCCATCCATCTCGGCCTCCCAAAGTGCTGGGATTACAGGCTTGAGCCACCGCTCCCGGCCAGAAATTCTTTTTTTTACTGCAAGAGATGAGGTAGATATTTAGGGATGTTTTAAAAGCAAACCTCTTAATACACAGTATTTTTGTATTAATTGAATTTTCTGTTTCCAACTTTCCATTTTCCTGGTGGACCGCTCTTTCTGTTTTCATAGTCTTCAACAGCACTGTACATTTCACTGCTGTCCTCTCTCTAAATCATCCCTCATACTATCTGCTGTGTGTTGCTTTTGGCTTTGACCACCGACTTTGATGTGTCAATATGAAGGAGGGGGAGTCCTTGAGGCTGAATTAGGTGAAGGAGTTGGGAAAAGAAATGGAACGTGAATCAAAGACATACCTGCCGTGAAACACGGAGCCATAAGTACTTCCCAAAACTCTAACTCACCCCCTCCATTTATAGACATCTTCTCACACTGGGGATTCTTCTGCACTTAAAACCTATATCTATGTCTGATAGCAGCTTCTTTGAGCAGAAGAATTGAGAGAGGCCAGCGTCTAAAATTATAATGATGCTTAGATTCATAAAGCACTTTTCCAGGGAGGAGAGTGGTGCGATGCAAGCATGTGTCCCGGGGAGCGGAGGCAGGCATGTATGAGTCTCCATCAGAAGTTCATTCCCTACACACTTCCTTCCCTTGATTTAGAACTGGTCCCTGCTCACCCCTGAATGTTATGTGTGAAAGATATGGAGGCAGAGACAAAGTGCCTGAGACTCACTGGTGTGGTGGGAACACGTGGGCCATGCAGGCTGGAATGCTTTAGATTCAAAGCCCAGACACACCTCTATACCACTCTCCACCCTGTATGACCTTGGGCAGGTCACTGCACCTGAGTGTCAGTTTCCTCATCTGCAAAGTAGATGTGATCACTGCTCTGCAGGGTGGCTGGGAGACTTCAATGGGAGAATAAAATATATGTAATTATATATAAATATAAAGTGGCGTACATATACCTGGCCCAGTGAAGGTGGCCAAGAAGTGTTTTCTTATCATCAATGCAACAAGAAGAAAGGTGCTTCCTTTCTTGTTACAGGGGCCTCCTGTGGGTCCTGAATGTCTCATTTCTGTGTTCTGGTGCCTGGAGCAGCAGTCCGTTCATATTTACTGACGGACTCCTAGCAGGCTCATGAGTTACTTTCCACAGAGGAGCCTACCATAGGCTCCTGTAATTTCAGCAGGAATCAAGAGAGAAAGGCTGTTGGTTCTTGCAGTTTAATAGGGAAACTGTCAATGTACAAATAACGAAGCAGGTCTTCATCTTACTGCTTGTGTGAAAACGCAGCAATTGAAACGTGTTTGATGCTGTTCAGCGGATAATGGGACGGGGGACTGAACCCAGCACTGAGATTACAGAGGGCTTTTCTGGGGAAGAGAAATCTTTATTATTATAATTCAGGTCACCTGACTTTCCCATCTGGACCTTGTTTATCCTTTCTGAGGTGGCGTGGGGAAGCTCCTTACATCAGCCGCCCGATAGTAGGGCCGTTATGCTGCTCTCAGTTTGCAGATGTGTCCGCGTTGTTGAAAGGCTGTGATGAGACTACTGAGGCTTCCTTCCTCTCACACACATACAGGCTGTCTATTTTGGGGGGCTATTTTTAGCATGTCTTACAATTATCCAACTTGATTCCTTCACGGCCTTCCCCTTGTTGACCTTCACCATGAACCACCCTCTGTCTGGTTGTTGAAAGCAGATGAGATTTCTCTGTCACAGCCCATCGTCCTCATAGTTTCTCCCTTCCTTTGAAAAACTTGAGTGGCACCTCGTTATCTGTAACTCTGACTCCTTGCCAAGGCATTTGAGGCTTTGTGCAGTCCAGCCCCAGGGTGCCTCCCCAGCTCATCTGCCTGAGCTCCGTGCTCCCATACCCCAAGCAGACCGTTGCACTGCCATCTTGTAAATGGATGCTGTGCTTGGCACGCCTGTGCCTTTCCTCATGAACTGTGCCACGTGTGAAATACCCACACTCCATGACTTCTAGTGGACCCACCGTCCAGATGGTGAAGTCAACTGTGACATCATCCTCTCCTTCACCCAAACTTTATTTCCACCTCTACTGTGGCAGTTCTCATATTCTGCCGTAGCACGGTTATATGGAGCTTGTTGTCCTTTCAGCTAAACCCTGAGATCCTAGAGAGTGGGAACTGAATCATTCATCTTTGTGTTGCGAACGTGTAGCGTGATGGTGTCTGGGGAGCACAGAGGCTGCTGGATTGAATTGTTCCAAGCCACACCATTGACAGTTATTCTCCAGTGTGTGCTAAGACCTGCTGGAGTCATAAGGCAGGAACTGGGCTGGGCGTGGTGGCTCATGTTTGCAATTGCAGCACTTTGGGAGGCCCAGGCAGGCGGATCATGTGAGGTCAGGAGTTCAAGATCAGCCCGGCCAACATGGTGAAACCTTGTCTCTACTAAAAATAATAAATAATAATAATAATAAATTAGCCGGGTGTGGTGGTACATGCCTGTACTACCAGCTGGGAGCCTCGGGAGTCTGAGGCAGGAGAATCACTTGAACCTGGGAGGCAGAGGTTGCAGTGAGCCAAGATCATGCCACTACACTCCAGCCTGAGTGCCAGAGTGAGACTCCATCTCAAAAAATAAAAATAAAGGCCTGGCGTGGTGGCTGACACCAGTAATCCCAGCACTTTGGGAGGCTAAGGCGGGCAGATCACAAGGTCTGGAATTTGAGACCAGCCTGCCCAACATGGTAAAACCCTGTCTCTACTAAAAGTACAAAAAATTAGCCAGGTGTGGTGGAGGGTACCTGTAATTCCAGCTACTCAGGAGGCTGAGGCGGGAGAATTGCTTGAACCCAGAAGGCAGAGGTTGCAGTGAGCTGAGATCGTGCCACTGCACTCAGGCCTGGACAACAGAGTGAGGCTCCATCTCCGAATAAATAAGACTGGAACTACTTGAGAAATTAGCTGTCTCTTGTTCTTTACAGATGCCTTATCTCTGTTTATTTAGCAGACCTCTGTTGATTGCCTACTTCTGTGCACTAGATTCATGTGGCAATGTTAGAAGTAAGAGAATGGTATTACACCTGGCCTTTTTTTTTTTTTTTTTTCTTAAAAAAACACTGACAAGTTAGCTGTATTCTGTAATCTCATTTTAGGTAATGCTGTATTGCCATTTAATGTTAAATATGTCTCAGAAGTTGACAGGTGGCCTGCCTTGGCCTTCCAAAGTGCTGGAATTACAAGCATGAGCCACCACACCCAGCCCAGTTCCTGTCTTATACCCCCAGCGGGTTTTAGGACACACTGGAGCATCACCATCAATGGTGTGGCTCGGATCCATTCAACACTCACTGTGCCCCCAAACACCATCACGGTGCGTGTTTGCAATGCAGAGATGGATATTATTCCGTCTCTGCTCTCTAGAATCTCATGGTTTAACTAAAAGGATGACAGGTTCCAAAGGAATGCCAGCTTCTTTAGTTATATATGCTTAAGGCTATTAAATATATATTTCTACCTGAAGTTCTTCAGTGAAATGAACACTTGTATAGCTAGTAGCTTGCACACTGTGACCTCTAGAATGCCCCATAGACCAAAGCTGAACTCAAGATCTGCCTCCCAAATCCATTTCCCTGCCAGCAAGCCCTTCCCCGCTCACCCTGCCATGCAACCCAGAAACCTGGGATGCATTCTTGAAATTTCCCTCTTTTTGCTGTCCCACATCTAATCTGTCAACAAATCATGTAGATTTTACTAGAAATATCAAACCCATCAGGTTGCTTCTCTCAACCCTGCCGCTGCCACCCTAGCCCAGGCTGGCACCCTCTCACCTGGGCTGTAACAGCTGAGGGCTTGCTGGGAGTGGGGTGAGTTCACACAGCAGTGACAGAAGAGAGTGCGCTCTGGAAAGGGCTCAGTGGGACCAGAGGCCAGGGCGGAGGACCTGGATGGCGCAGACAGTCATGGCGTCACGTCAGGGACACAGGCCCCACGCACGATGCCCACAGAGGGCTGCACGCCCAGGAGTCAGTAGCTGACACGAGGGACTGTGATGCTGGAGAATTGGAGAGAGGCAGAGAGGCGAGGCAGCCTGGGCATCTGCATTTGATTGTGGGGGCGTCAGTGCTCACTGCTGCATCCAGGCCGGTGTCCCTGTGCTGCACAGAGTCTCCTTTATGGGGGTGTCAGTGCTCACCGCTGCACCCAGGCCGGTGTCCCTGTGCTGCACAGAGTCTCCTTTATGGGGGTGTCAGTGCTCACCGCTGCATCCAGGCCAGTGTCCCTGTGCTGCACAGAGTCTCCTTTATGGGGGTGTCAGTGCTCACCGCTGCACCCAGGCCGGTTTCCCTGTGCTGCACACAGTCTCCTTTATGGGGGCGTCAGTGCTCACTGCTGCATCCAGGCCGGTGTCCCTGTGCTGCACAGAGTCTCCTTTATGGGGGTGTCAGTGCTCACTGCTGTACCCAGGCCGGTGTCCCTGTGCTGCACAGAGTCTCCTTTATGGGGGTGTCAGTGCTCACCGCTGCATCCAGGCCGGTGTCCCTGTGCTGCACAGAGTCTCCTTTATGGGGGTGTCAGTGCTCACCGCTGCACCCAGGCCGGTGTCCCTGTGCTGCACACAGTCTCCTTCGTGGGAGTGTCAGTGCTCACTGCTGCACCCAGGCCGGTGTCCCTGTGCTGCACACAGTCTCCTTTATGGGGGCGTCAGTGCTCACCGCTGCACCCAGGCCGGTGTCCCTGTGCTGCACACAGTCTCCTTCGTGGGGGTGTCAGTGCTCACTGCTGCACCCAGGCCGGTGTCCCTGTGCTGCACACAGTCTCCTTTATGGGGGCGTCAGTGCTCACCGCTGCATCCAGGCCGGTGTCCCTGTGCTGCACACAGTCTCCTTCGTGGGGGTGTCAGTGCTCACTGCTGCACCCAGGCCGGTGTCCCTGTGCTGCACACAGTCTCCTTCGTGGGAGTGTCAGTGCTCACCGCTGCATCCAGGCCGGTGTCCCTGTGCTGCACAGAGTCTCCTTTATGGGGGTGTCAGTGCTCACCGCTGCACCCAGGCCGGTGTCCCTGTGCTGCACACAGTCTCCTTCGTGGGAGTGTCAGTGCTCACTGCTGCACCCAGGCCGGTGTCCCTGTGCTGCACACAGTCTCCTTTATGGGGGCGTCAGTGCTCACCGCTGCATCCAGGCCGGTGTCCCTGTGCTGCACACAGTCTCCTTTATGGGGGTGTCAGTGCTCACTGCTGCATCCAGGCCGGTGTCCCTGTGCTGCACGGAGTCTCCTTTATGGGGGTGTCAGTGCTCACTGCTGTACCCAGGCCGGTGTCCCTGTGCTGCATACAGTCTCCTTTATGGGGGTGTCAGTGCTCACTGCTGCATCCAGGCCGGTGTCCCTGTGCTGCACACAGTCTCCTTTATGGGGGCGTCAGTGCTCACCGCTGCATCCAGGCCGGTGTCCCTGTGCTGCACACAGTCTCCTTTATGGGGGTGTCAGTGCTCACTGCTGTACCCAGGCCGGTGTCCCTGTGCTGCACACAGTCTCCTTTATGGGGGTGTCAGTGCTCACTGCTGCATCCAGGCCGGTGTCCCTGTGCTGCACACAGTCTCCTTTATGGGGGTGTCAGTGCTCACTGCTGTACCCAGGCCGGTGTCCCTGTGCTGCACACAGTCTCCTTTATGGGGGTGTCAGTGCTCACCGCTGCATCCAGGCCGGTGTCCCTGTGCTGCACACAGTCTCCTTTATGGGGGTGTCAGTGCTCACTGCTGTACCCAGGCCGGTGTCCCTGTGCTGCACACAGTCTCTTTTATGGGGGTGTCAGTGCTCACTGCTGTACCCAGGCCGGTGTCCCTGTGCTGCACACAGTCTCCTTTATGGGGGTGTCAGTACTCACTGCTGCATCCAGGCCAGTGTCCCTGTGCTGCACACAGTCTCCTTTATGGGGGTGTCAGTGCTCACTGCTGCATCCAGGCCGGTGTCCCTGTGCTTGTGCACAGCAGTAGCTTCCTCCTCCTTCTGGAACTCTTGGCAACATTGTAAGGAGGTGGCACGTGGATACTGGTGGGTGGGGTCGATGTTTCTTGGTGACTGTGACCCACCCTGTAGGTCTTGGAGGATCCGGAGGACCCTGGGACATCCTGATGGAAAAAGCCTCACAATTTTCTGTGCTGTGGCCCCATTCGCTTGCTTCTGTGTGTTTGGAAAGGAGGCATCCTGCCCCTCGCTGCTGCCCCATTGCCGATTTGCAGGATGGCCTTACCTTTCCCGGGAGGAAACCAGTCTGCTCTGAGGGATAATGTGGTGATGTGGAAGGGCTGATATTCCATGTCAGATCATGCTTCAGAGGGCAAGGGATCAACGGCCAGCGTTCAGGAAGGTTCAGGCCTCTGGGATAGGGCTGCACATTTGTTTACTGAAAGGAAATTCTCCATCTCCAATGAAGTCAGTCAGGGAAGTGAGAGGACAGGGAAACTCCACGCTGGTGATGACCCTCGTTCTCACCTGTTGAGACGTGCAGGGTGTTCAAAGACAGGCATCCGATTTTCAGTCAGGTTCTTCTGAACCAAAGAAAAGAGGCAACTGAAATTCTGTGCATGGGCCAGAAGTGCAGAAGGAAGCTAGGCATTTGTGAGAAGGGCCCGGAGTCCGGGTGAATGACAGTGCAGGGCAGCCTGCTCACTTGGCTCTGGCAAAGGTCATTATTGAAAAGTGGTTTTGTTTCTTCTGAGTAAAAGTAGAAACAGAGAGGAAGAATGTGAATGTGTACGTGTTATAGCAAATGCAAAGAAATAATCAGTACCTTTCTTCAGTATAAAATTGTCTCTGATAGAAGTCTCCTTCAGAATTAGACAATTCTATAAAACCCCTGGGAGAAGACACAATGTAAAAACCACTCATTAACTTTAACTGCCATTTAAGTCTACAGGGCTGCAGGAATGTAGAGCCACATTTGAAGCCTTTTCATGCGGTACTATGTTGGACAAATATTCTGGATGTTATTTGAGCATATGTGTGCATATAGAGAAGGAAAGCATAGCAGAACGTACTTGGTGTATATTGTATGTGCATAAATGTGCTCAGGGGAGATTAGCATTTGTGACTTGGAGGCAGCCTGGCTTTGGTCCTCTGGCCTTGTCACTGTCACCCATTATCTGTGAAATGTTACACAAACTACCTAGCTTCTCTAAAGTTCAGTTTTCTTCAGCACCTGGTCTCTGGATGGTTGTTAAGATAAAGCGCTCCTGCCTCGGCATAGTGGCTCGAATCTGTAATCCCAGCACTTGGGGAGGCTGAGGTGGGTGGATTGCCTGAGGTCAGGAGTTAGAGACTAGCCTGGCCAACGTGGCGAAACCTCATCTCGACTAAAAATACAAAAACTAGCGAGGTGTGGTGGCAGGCGCCTGTAATCTTAGCTATGCGGGAGGCTGAGGCAGGAGAATCGCTTGAACTTAGGAGGCGGAGGCTGCAGTGAGCCAAGATCATGCCACTGCACTACAGCCTGGGTGACAGCCAGACTCCTTCTCAAAGATAAAGTGCTTCCCTACTGCAGTGTATGGGACCTCACCATCATTTCTCCCGCAGCAGCCTTGTAATGCTTTATCTGTGTGCTGTGCAGGCCAGCCTGTGTAGCCTGAGCTGGCGGCAGTGGCAGTATCTACACTCTGTGTTGTGTTACAACGAAGCATGGTATCTGTTCTGGGGCCACCGCGTACCCCGTCCTTGGGAACCGGGGTGGAATGCTTCCTCAGCCCCTTGTGTCTGCCAGACCGAGTGGTCCTGTCTCCTTCAGCCAAGCTGACTCACCACCGAGACCCTCTTTCATTTCTCTTCTCCCTGTTCCAGGCCCAGAAGTCTGGCTCGGGAAAGGACACTCAGGCTGCCGAAGACCTGCTGCTGCTCAGCAAGCCTCTGACAGACCTCATCAGCCTGCTCATTCCGCTGGTAAGATATCACCTGTGTGCGTGTCTTTTGGAACATTACTGAAGTCGAAGTAATTTCATTTGAATTTCATGATCTCTTGAATTTCTGTGTTACTTTCATTCCCTTCAAAACTAGAGCCAAAAGAACTTTCAGAAGATTATTTGGCCTGGAAAAGTAAATCTCAGTTTTAAAACCAGGTGGCTTATTCATTTAAATAGATACTTAGGTAAGGCAGAATCTCAAATCAAATTACTTTCTTAACGAATGTGAAGTGAAGAAATTCAACAAATGAATTCCAAGAAGGAAGAAGACATTACTATGGGAATCAGTTTCTTTTCAAAAAGATCTTTTAGAGTTACACTTGGCATGTAGGGCCGTCCAGAAATGCGGAAGCACAGACACAGACCTAGGGCAGAAGCACAGACACGGACGAGGGCAGAAGCACAGACACGGACCTAGGGCAGAAGCACAGACACGGACTAGGGCAGAAGCACAGACACGGACCTAGGGCAGAAGCACAGACACGGACCTAGGGCAGAAGCACAGACACGGACCTAGGGCAGAAGCACAGACACGGACCTAGGGCAGAAGCACAGACACAGACTAGGGCAGAAGCACAGACACGGACGAGGGCAAACCCTCTCTATCTCAGTGTTCTGAAGCACATCTTTAAATAGCTGACCATGCTTTACGTGAAAAGAGGATCAGTAAATTCCAGTTAAGAGGAATTGTATAGACCACATTTTTTAACCACAATACTACAATAAAATTAGAAGAAAAAATAAAAACAGTAAAAAATGAACTATTAGCAAATACTCCCTATCGGCAAAAAGAATAAGATATTGTACTTATATCAGTCTAGGTCCAATCAGGAAATAGAAACCACACAGTGATTAAAATATAATTTTAATATTGAACAGTATTAAGCTACTACTATAGAAAAGTAACTAAGATTTTTAAAACTCTCTGTACGGTACCTTAAAGCTGAGGGAAAATACTCAAGGAAGGATGAACTTGAAAGGGCAACCATCTCCCTGAGCCTGTGAGTTAGACCTCACTGGGGGCATAGCAACAGCCCACAACACAGTGCACTTTGCCCATTTCCAGGAGCAGACCTGGTCCACAGTCCTTGGGAAAGCAGGAAGCAACCACAGGGTATCCACTGTGGGTGGGTAGCCTGGCACGCTTGTTGGGGTTACCTCTGCAGGACACCCGTCAGCCAGGGGAGCTGGAGTGCAAGTGCACAGTATCCATGTTGAAAGGGCAGCAGGATGAGGCTGAGGGTTGCTGTGGGGCTGTGAATTCCGGGCACATGGTTAGGGTAGTTCATTACCAAAGTCATCACACCTGCACCTACCAAGGGCACCCACCAGAAGGAGCAGGCGTGTCCGACCCCAGCTGTGTTCCTCTAGCACCACCTACTGAGAAATCTTAGTGTCACACTCACTCTAGAGGAGGAATGTTTTGTTTTGTTACAAATTATTATTAAAAAACTTTCTTTTACTCTCCTAAAAGGTGATGGTGGTGTCTTATTGTGGTTTCAGTTGCATTTCTGTAATGACCAGTAGTATTAAGCATCTTTGCATGTACTTTTTTGCTAATATCTGTGTCTATTTTTTTTAATGAATTTTCTTCATAATATGAATACATTACAAGTAAAAGTAAATTGAGTTATCTTAAAGAAAACTGTTTGGGAGGCCAAGGCGGGTGGATCACGAGGTCAAGAGATCGAGACCATCCTGGTCAACATGGTGAAACCCCGTCTCTACTAAAAATACAAAAAATTAGCTGGGCATGGTGGCGTGTGCCTGTAATCCCAGCTACTCAGGAGGCTGAGGCAGGAGAATTGCCTGAACCCAGGAGGCGGAGGTTGTGGTGAGCCGAGATCGCGCCATTGCACTCCAGCCTGGATAACAAGAGCGAAACTCTGTCTAAAAAAAAAAAAAAAAAAAAAAAGAAAGCCAACATCTGGCTCTGCCGCCCTGCTGTGTGCTCTTGGGTCGGGCGCTCTGCCTGTGAGCCTGAGAATTAAGTGAGACGATGCCCGGGAAGGCGCCTAGCATGCTCAAGTGTCATTTCTCAAAAAGTTCCTCTTTGATCACATATTATGTCTGATTTTCAGCCTTATCCACTGCTTGCTATGATCTGCCGGAATAGACTCTACTGCCCTCATAAGGCGCTCCTTTTGTCTCTGTCATCCAGCCCGCCTCCAGTGCTGGACCTCTGCTCAGCTGAGGATTCTTTACAAGACGGGTCTTGGAGTCTTCTTCAGGCTTCCTCCCTTGTGTTACAAGTCCCTCCCAGAGGCCCCCTCTTGTTCCCTGTCCTTTTCCAGATTGTCTTCTGGTTTCTTACCTTGAATATTGACAAGTGTAAAAGCACAGGGTCCAGTTTCCTTGAATCCTCCCTCCTGGTCAGAGGTCTTCCTGCGTTTCTGCAGAATCCTGCTGGAGCTGTGGCTTCCACTGTCTGGCTTAGAGCCTACAGCCCAGTGATGATGCTGTGCAGTGTTCAGGCCAGGTGACTGCCCGGAATAAAACTGTCCTCCAAGAGGCTTCTCCCAGCTCTTTGTGACACTGAACTCCTGCTACATGTAGCTTGATCACAGTTAGGTTCTGGCATGTGTGTCTGATGTGTGTGGGCTTCACTGTGTACAGTGTATACTCATTTATCATTGGAACCATTGGGCTTAAAAATGGCCTGTGACAAGAACACTGCCATATGTCTTCTCTTGGAAAGATTAATACACATTTATAGCTGTGTATAAAGTGAAGAAAAATAGCAATAAGGCTATTGAGGACCTAAAGCAGAGCACATACAGAGCAAAGATGAATTTTACAGTGGTTGTTAAAAAATGTGGTAGGTTACAGAATGAGGTGCTGGAATTGCTTTCCCGTAGGGAAAAGTAAGCACACTTTCAGTTTTCATCTGACGTGGATGATTTTGGAAGCATTTGGCCTAAAGGCAACAGAATGAACTTGTTAGCCTTTGAGGATTTTTCCAGATATGGTCTTATGAAAGTAAACCTACTTACCCTTAAGCGAATATGAAACCTGTCAACCTATAATTTGTGCCCTATATTTATAATATACACTGTGGGAAACCATAGTGAAACGTTTATGTAAGACAGAGATTTTAAGTCTGTTTTGACAATCTGATTATTCTTGACTCTCTTACCTTAAAATTGCCTGGACTTGCTTATATGCAAAGTTCTTCATGCAGTTCACAATTTCAGGGGAACTTCAAACCCTCAGTTGGTAACCACAGTATAAGACGTGGCTGACAAGTCCACTGTGTCTCCTGAAGGAAAGATAAAGCAGAGGGGATTGTTTGACCACAGCATTCTATTTCCGAAAAAAAGAAAATGAGAAGCCAAACTACATATTCTAGATGCGATTTTAAACTTGATAGTTACCTAGGATAAGAAATTATGCTGCAGCCTCCCTGTCCCTCAATTAAAATAGATATCTTCAAATTTATAGGGGGTGGTATTTTTAAAATATTCTTTATTATGTATCAGAGATGCCAGTATTTAGAGTAATTTATATGATTCTGTTTATCTCACATGAATCGTGTGTGCCTTTTTTGGCCACTGAAAGCTGTTTCCCGACAGTCCATGTAGGACCCAGTCCCCGGCTTGCACCAGTATGACCGTGCTCGGTAACTGGGAGACCCAGCTGTCGCCTGAGCATCTAACGATTCTTATCAATTCATGTTTCTGAGATCACTGTGCCAGTTTTAAAAATAGGTAAATTAACATAAAACACAGCGTTGAAAAAGTCCATTTCTGTTTTCCATTTTTATTAATACATTTCTTTCTTTCACAAACACATGAGCAGACTTTTCTTTTTAAATGGTGGTGGACTTGTACTTGTCTGTTCTTCTCCTTCCTGCCGACTTCACTGTCAGAGGCATGAAATGCAGGTCATGCTTTACGGTGATGATGGTTTATGGTGATGGAGCCCAGGGGAGGTGGTCGTTTTTACAGGTCAAGCCCAAGAGATGTTGTTAGTTCTGTACTGAGCAGCTCTGCCAAGGAGTCAGTACTCCATTTAAAGGTGATACGCGTCTTTCTGAGGAGCCACCGCCCGTCTGCCTTCTGGACATTTCCACTGGATACACCAGAAGCACCTCAGATTCAATAGGGTTAAAACAAACTCATAATAAGCATCTCCTCAAAAGTGTTCCTACTTTGGAAGCCAACGCGGGAGGATCGCCTGAGCCCAAGAGTTCAAGACCAGCCTGAGCAACACAGTGAGGCCTGGTCTCTAAAAAAAAAAAAAAAAAATTTTTTAATAGAACCTGGGGCCAAGCCTGGTGGTTTACAACTGTAGTCCCAGCACTTTGGGAGGCTGAAGTGGGCAGATCACTTGAGGTCAGGAGTTTGAGACCAGCCTGGCCAGTAATGTGAAGCCCTTTCTCTAATAAAATCACAAAAATTAGCCGGGGGTTGTGCGTGCCTGTAATCCCAGCTACTCGGGAGGCTGACACGGGAGAATTGCTTGAAACTGGGAGGCGGAGGCTGAATTAAGCCTAGATAGATGGTGCCACTGCCCTCCAGCCTGGGTGACAGAGCAAGACTCCGTCTCAAAAAAAAAAATTGAATAATAAAACTGTTGCTCCGTTTGTGCTTTCAGGAAACGAACTTCCACTCAATTGCCTAAGCCCAGAATGTGGGATCATTCCTGTCTTTGTCTCATCATCCTGCCCTGCCTCGTCAAGCCCTGGCCGTTCTCCCACCCAAACACATCACACATCACATCCTGCTGTTTTCTCCTTCCTGCCATGAGCACTGTCATGAAGGCCAGCACTGGCCTCCTGCCCTTGAAGGACCGCAGGAGCCTTCCACCTGGGTTCTCTGCCTGTCCTTGCTCCCTCTGCTGTCTTCTCCATGGTACAGGCAGAGTGCCCTTTCCAAAATACAAACTCATCCTGTCATTCATCGATTTAATAAACTCCACCTTCTGAATAGGTTTACAAAATCATAGATAATTGGAGCCTTTCTTACGTTTCTAGCACTT